TAGGGAGTTTCTACCTCTCTGTTCGGTTTTTGGTTTAGTTTTTTTGTTTTTTTTACCATGTGGGGTTTGTTTTGTTATGCCTACCTTTCTGGGTGCCTAACCCCGGTCGATGGCAGATAAGGAAAACCCCAACCACAAAGGGGTTTTCCAGGGCCATTGCTCCCTGAAACCTCTCTGAAGGGGCCAGGTTCTGGCGCTGGTCCCTGGTAGGTCTGAACTCCTTAGCTAATGTCCCGGTCTAATATAACACACATTAGCCCGATCAGCTCCAGGGAGCTGTAGGGGCTCCCCACAGAAAAACAGTGTTGAATGAAATGAAATGCCATTTTCTGGGTGAGCCCAGGAGGCTCCCCGGAGCTATCAGGCTAATGTGTGTTATATTAGTCTGCAGCATCAGTTAATTGGAGTTCAGCCAACCAGGGGCCAGAACCTGGCCCCCTCAGAGAGGTAAAGGTGGCAATGGCCTGTGGAAACCCATGTATTTGGGAGCATTCCATACCTGCCATCGACTGGGGATGGCACCCAAAAAGGTAGGCATAACCAAACAGAACGCACAAGGTAAGAAAATTGCAACCGAAGACCAAACAGAGGCAGATCTTTCCCCTCTTAAAGAAAACAATCAAACACTTGACTCTGCTGCCGTGCCGCTTGTCTACGCAACTGTCCCCCTTCATAGGAGAGGGAAGGTGGAGCCCCGGACCCCCTGTGCCGGCTACCCTGCAACTCCAGTTCGGAGGCTGAGCATCATAATCCACGCGAAAAACCCTCCAGGGACTTCAAGTCAAGTCCTTGGAGGGAGGGAGGGTGCCAGGGAGCCATCGGGGCTCACCCAGAAAATGGCGTTTCATTACATTCAACGCTGGATGAGGGGGAACCCCTTTGGCTTCTTGGAGCTTCCTAACCAAAGATAAAGGAAAGAGGGACTTACCCAGGAGGTAGCCGCAACTTGCTCCTCAACTTCAAGTCGAGACAACTGGCTGCAACCTGCGACCCAAAGTCACACATGAACGATTAGGACCAGGAACGTTTACGAGATAACGAGCGGCCAGGACCTGTTTCGACCTTCAAAATCCCCGCACCCAAATGTCAGCCCAGGACATATTGCTTAAGACGCCAGTCAAAGCAGCAAACTTATGAATGTTGTGGGCATGAGGGTAGACTGCAGGCTAGCTAGACTTAACGACCCTGCAGACAACCTGGGATACCCGAGATCTGGAACAGGGAACGAGGGGAAACTGGATCAACCCAAAGCGCTTTCCTGGCCATAGAAGCTGAGGTGCACAAGTAACGGCGGACACAACCCATGATACACCACTGGCCTGACCAACGAAGCATCAATGACCCAATGACTCCTCCAGAAAGTGGCTATCTTGTTCTTCAGCAGAAAAGGAGAAGGCTGCAGCCGAACAAATCGACTACCAAGATCGAAAGACCAAAAACCCCTGCGCCTGAGGAGAGCATGAAGCTCGCCCACCAGACCCCTAGAGGCCAATACCAACAGAAAGAGAGCCTTGGAAAAACAATCTTGAACCGAAGGCCCCACCAGGAAGAAGTGAGATAGAAGAACACACTGTCCAAGTGCCAGGATGGCTCAGGCAGTGCATGACCAGGCCGGAGGTGAAACAAGGCACAAGAAAGTTTACGAAACGTGGCTGAAGTGATATCCACCCTGAAAGCAAGCAGAAGCGGCTCCGCCAGTACTGCATGATACGAGGCGACAGTATTTGGCTTTAAATGATGGTCCTGAAAAAGCCAAGAAAGAAAGAAAGGCCAAGACAACCCAATCAGAAACAGAAGACAACCTATGTAGAGAGAAAATGGCAGAAAGACACCAGGAAACTTCATACTATCGCTGAGACGAAGCTCACAGGTGGGACACTATTAACAAAGCCACCTGATCACCATACAAATGGCGATAGGCCTGCATCAAGAAGACCAGACGCGAACAGCAGAAGAGAAGACTTAACCAACTAGGTAACTGACCAGACCGATCTGCTGAAAGAGGTGGAGCTGCAGAAAACATCGTGGGTTCGGACACCGAGCAAGCAGCGGCTGAAAGTAAGACTGGGCCGGCCACCAAGGGGCCAACAAGATGACTCTCCCCTGGTAAGTCTCCAAACAAGCCAGGATCTGAAGCAACAGCTGGACCGAAAGGAAGAGGTACAGGTAACCCCACCTCGACCAGTCCTGCCGAAAGGCGTCCACCGCGACGGCTTCACAGTCAGGAAAGGGCGCCACATATATCGAGACACACCGAGACCACGCCGACATGAATAGGTCCACCTCTGGGTGTCTGTACGTCCAGCAGAACCAACCAAAAGAGTCTGTGTCAACCTTCCATTCTGTGGACAGGGGAATGAATCAAGACAGGCCGTCCACCAGGACATTGGACACTTCCCCGGATATGAACTGCACGGAGAGCCAAACCCCGAGAATCCAGCAGACGAGCCACTCGAAGAGACCAGCCCCAAAGAGCCAAGGACCGAAGAGAACCCGCACGGTTCAGACAAAGAACCACCAGAGAACAGACCGAATGGCGCCAGATCGCTGAACTTCAAGTGACCCAACCAAGGACCCCACCACCCCTGGCTGGCCTGATGAACACTGGTCACAAAGCCCCAGCTAAGAGATGAGGCATCTGTGAACATATCGAGCGTGGGCTCAGGTAGGCGCCAAGGCATGGAACCCCGAAAAACTAGAAGAGGAAGCCAGTGATGCAGCAACCAATGCAAGGGGCCCCCCCTGGAGGCGGAACCCAGCAATTGGGAGAGAGGTGGAAGAGAAGACCCTATAGGAACCATAACAGACGCCGAAGCCAGACCCGACCCAGCAGGTTGGGTTTCGTCCGGTCAATGTTGCAGCCGCAGCAACGACTCCCGAGGGAGAGACACGGAAAAGATCTGAGAGTCCTACACGAGACCCAGCCAGGTCTGAACCTGGGACTGAACCAGATGGTACTTCCTCCAGTTCACCAGGAACCCGAACCTGGCAAGCTGGGAAAGACCACACCATTGGCGAGCAGACAAGCTGACTGGCTGAGAGTCCACATTAACCAGTCGTCGAGGTAGGCCAGAACCCAAACCTCCAGCAGGTGCAGATGGGTCACCACGCCCTGGGTAAGATGTATTAATACGTAAGGTGCTATATTCAAGCTAAAGGGAAGGTAATGAAAGTGGTAAGCCTGAGGCACATCATGAAACATAACCAGTCCCTGAACCCTGGATGAATAGGAATGTGCCAATGCATGTTCCTGAGGTCCAGTGACACCATCCAGGCACCCGGCTCCAAAAGAAGCCGGACCTGAGATAGAATGGTCATCAGAAAGGAGGGGCAAGGAATCCAGGGGTTCTGACGGGCAAGTCCAGAATGAACCACAGATCCACACAGTCCCGTTTTGGCACTGGAAACAGGTGGGAAACCCACCTGAGGGATGGGGTCGTTTCGACCACACCCAAGCACACTCACTCTGAGATGACTCAACGGAACGCAAGGGAAGAAGCCTGCCCCACGAGTCCCGAACCCTCCGAAGGAAGAGGAGCCACCAAAAGCCACCACAGGCTGGTGGATACGACCCAAAATGCCCACAAATCGTGGGACCAAGTGTGAACAAACAGCACGTCTCCCCGCCATCGCCCCATCAACAAAGGCAAACTGCAAAAGGGCCGACGCCCTTTATGAGAAGCCAGCCGATGAACAGAGCAATCACCATGCCAATCAGATGATGCCAGCTCCGAAGCCAACGTGGGTGCCTGACAGCTCCGAAAGGCGCCTGACAGCTGAGTGGACAACGCCTTGGATTTGTTGTCCTGAGGTTCCGGGTTCGATCCCCGATGTAGGCGGAGACAAGTGGGCAAAATGTTTCTTTCACCCTGATGCCAGTTACCTAGCAGTAAATAGGTACCTGGGAGTTACAACAGCTGCTACGAGCTGGTTCCTGGGGATGTGTAACAAAAAGGAGGTCTGGTTGAGGACCAGGCCGCAGGGGCGCTAAGCCAAAAATCATCTCAAAATAACGTCGGGTCAGAAGTTGGTATCACTGGCCCACCACGACCAGAGGAACCCCAAGCCCTGACATGACCACGACCCATCCGAGAAGCGCAAGAATGGCCACCAACAAGTCAACAAGAACCAACAAATCCCACATAGGACAACAACTAGACAACCTGTATAGAAACTGCGTGACCACAGTCTCTGCAATCAGCAACAAAGACAAAAATGGAGAAAAAACCAGCGTTGAATGTAATGACATGCCATTTTCTGTGAGAGTCCCAGAGGCTTCCCAGAGCTATCCAAGCTGAATGAATATGTATAACTTTCTGGCATCAGTCAATATGCATGGAGTTCTTACCTACTTGGGACCTCGAACCAGAACCTGGCCCCCTCAAGAGAGGCACGAGGAGCAATGTACACGGAATTAATGAGGATGCAGTGTTAAAATGTTTTTTCTGAAACCAATCCAGGCCTAATCAAATGAATCCCAGACCTAACAATTTACATATGCACTACCTTAGGCCAGGGTAGGTATGGGAGCCAGTCGGCCGAGCGGACAGCACACTGGATTTGTGATCCTGTGGTCCCGGGTTCGATCCCGGGTGCCGGCGAGAAACAATGGGCAGAGTTTCTTTCACCCTATGCCCCTGTTACCTAGCAGTAAAATAGGTACCTGGGTGTTAGTCAGCTGTCACGGGCTGCTTCCTGGGGGTGGAGGCCTGGTCGAGGACCGGGCCGCGGGGACACTAAAGCCCGGAAATCATCTCAAGATAACCTCAAGAAGGGTATGGTACATTAGACCTAGGCATATTAGGATATTGCTGTCTTATTTATAGTGTGTTTTGTTCTTGGAGTAAATTTCAGTCATAAAAAATATGGACTTATTTACATGCAACAGTCACTAAATTTGCTATCACTTTGGAAGACGAGTTAGTTTATGGGAAAACAAAATAGTTAATACAGTATTAACTTTCTAATGTAAGAAATTCTGTACTGTATATTCAACTCACCTATAGCGTCTTCTGGAGAAACAATAACAGTATCAGTGTATATGTATTGCAGAAATGCCCGAAACACAACATATGAGTAATCCTTTACTTCAACCTCTCTGTGAACAAAAGAAATTCATATAGCTGTTATACAATAAATTTACTAGATATCAACATAGTTAAAGAGGAACATTTCAATGCTTTTCATATTCTTATATATTGCAGAAGTATCAATAAAACAAAAAATTATGTAAACAAAAAAACCAGCATTGAATGTAATGAAACGCCATTTTCTGGGAGAGACCCGGAGGCTCCCCAGAGCTGTCCCAGGCTGATATACTAATGTCAGACTTTGGCATCAGTCATGTGTATGGAGTTCTTAGGCCTACCGGGACCACGGCCAGAACCGGGCCCCCTCAGAGAGGCAAGGGAAGCAATGGCCTATAAAAACTCCTGTGTGGTTGGAAGCATTCTGTCTGCCATCGTCCGTGTCAAGCATCCAGAAAGGTAAGCGTCCCAAAACAAACCCATTCTGGTTAAAATTGCTACCAAAGGCTGAACCAGTGGATAGAACTCCCCAACAGAAAACAAGCAAACTAGTATGACGTCACACGTCACCGTGCCGCTGTCTGCGCAGCTCCCCCCTCCCCGGAAGGGGAAGGGGGAGCCACAGACCTCTCACGCTGGCTATCCACCCATCAGTTCTGAGGCTGGATGTCAAAACACGCGAAAAACCGCCGACCGGAGGGAGGGAGGGTTGCCGGGGAGCCTCCGGGTCACACCCAGAAAATGGTGTTTCATTACATTCAACATTTGCTGGTTTTCTGGGGGGAGCCCCGTCGGCTCCCAGGAGCTAACTACCCACAGAGGAAGGTATAAGGGACGGATCCGAGAGGCGGTCACCACGCACACCTCAACGCAAAGCGAGACGACTAGCTGCAACCGCCAACCCAAAGCGACACAGGCCCGAGGCAGCCCAGAAATGTCCACGAGACAACAAACAACCAGAAGGGAAATGAAGCAACCTAAAGCGTGTCCCCAGACACAGAAACCGAGGTGCGCTAAGATGGAGAAGGGCTGCAATCGGACAAAACATGACGCACCCCCGGCCCGACCAACCAAACATAAAAAAATGCAAGGGCCCCTCCCGAAAGCCACAGCCACCTCCCTCACAAAACACAAACCCCTTGTGCCAGAGAAGAGCATGAAGCTCCCCGACCGGACACCCACAAGCCAAAACCAAAAGGAATAAGCCTGCAGAAACAATCCAGAACGAAGGGGCCACAACAAACCGAGGAGAAGAAAAAGAGCACTCTGTCCAATGACCAGGATGGCTCAGGGGGAGCATGAGCAGGGCGGAGATGAACCAACGCACTAGACAGCTTGCGGAACGGCGCAGAAGTAACATCAAGACTGAACGCAAGTGGAAGCGGCTCCGCCAGCGCCACACGAAATGAGGCGATAGCATGCGGCAAAATGACGGTCCCGAACCTCCGTAAGAGGAGGACAAGACCACACCAACAAAACACAGCTATCTAAGAAGGGACAGAAAGAGAAAGGAAGGACCGCCAAAATAACCCACACTGCCGCCAAGAAGAAGCACACAGGTGGGACACCATCAAAAAAGCCACCTGACTGTAACACTGTAAAAGTGTTTGGTTTAGGTTATTTAAAATATATATAGTACATGAGTCACAGACAGGGATTTGGAAAGGCGCCAGGTTGTCAGCCTGAGATCTCACACCTCAAAGCGTTAATGACCCCAAGTGACCTGAGATCAGATCATGCGAATTTCACCTTACTTCTACTAATCTTATAATTGGAGCCTGGTAGCCTTCAAACTTGCCGACGTTTAAGGAGTGGCTTGGTAGAGTGCTGGAGGCTATCTACTTGTGGGCGGAGTTAGCTACTAGGTTCCCCAATAAATACTCGGAGAACTATCGATTCGAGAGCATTAAGGGAAGAACAGCAGACGAGCCAGAAGAGCAGAGAAGACGTCCCTAGCAGGGAGGCTGTCGGCCGGCCGGGCGAGACAGTCTCTGTCAAGCTACAGACCCCCCCCCCCCCCTCTATCCAGCTATAGGTAGAGACACTTGGTGAGTTGAGCAATAAGGTGACTTGGTCGTGTTTTACAAGTGTTGTGTGATGATCAGGGGCAGTCAGTTGTAGTGTTCTCAGATTCTTGGAGGATGACTCACTTTGAATATTAATCTTTAACCTTTTAATTGGATTGCTTAAGTTATGATACTTGGTATGTGAAATATAATTGAATTTATTATTTAAATGGCCTTTAACTGTGTCCCCTATGTTTAGAGTTGATACATGATAACAACATCTTTTGAGAATATTGTGATACAGACAAGTTCCATTCCTTGTCTTTTATGTAATGGTCTAGAATGGATGGTGGCAGCATTTCGTCTTCTACTAGCTACTCTTCTACTTCTACTATCTACTCTTCTACTTCTACCTATCTATTCCTCTCCCTCCACCCCTCTCTAAACTCTCACTTTCAACTAATGACCCTCCTCGCTCCTCCCACCTCTCTCCTCTCTCACCCCAAACCCTCACTAATTACTTCACTATTCATTCCTTTCCTTTCGTTTTCTCTTATACGTTTGTGGCAATGATTCTGTATTCTAGAGTTCTCTCTAGAGTTTCGGGTAGCTGATCCAGTTACGGCGCCTTGTGGTCTTAGCATCTAGGTAGTCGAATACCTAGGTTACAAGGTGTTGAAGAAGAGAGGCTGCCTTAGGAACTCTGGGAGTGCTCTAGAATAGTTAGCTAACTGAGGACGGGATAACGGACTAGAGAGAGCTGTTTCCCCCGGCCTCGTTAGTTAACTGGGGGGTGGAATAATGCACAAGATAGAGTTATTTCCCCCCCCCCCCCCCCGTTACATGACCACCAACAGAAGGCGGGAGTCCAGACAGAGCTGAACCAGCCCTGTCAGGGACCTAACGAGCCGCATAAGAGGCAGAACCATGGGAAGATCTCGGGTGCGACCACCGAACAGGCAGTCAGAAATTCGAACCGGCAAGGGAGGAGATGGAACCTCTGCCATACAGAAAAAACAACAACGAAAGGCACGCCAACAATACACAGTCGTTGGTCAGGCCCCAACACAAGACCAAACCGAAAAAAGACGCAAGGGGCGCCACGAGACCAGCACCTCAACCGAGGGGCATGAGCGAAGAGGAGACAACAGGAAGGAAACCGCACGACAGCGGGACACAGAAGAATCAGAGGGGATAATAACACCCCAAGCAAGACCCACAGGGAAATGAGAGGGTAGACAAAGACAGACCAAGAAACACAAGGGGCACACATACCAGGGGACACAGGCGGAACGGATGCCCAAGGAGCAAAGGAAATGACAGAAGGATTCCAGCATCAGAGTAGGAGACAATTGGAATGCAAAAGGAAGGGATGTGGCGGAGGCAGACCCCACACAGAGTCAAGCGTAGATACAACAGAGCCCAGTAGGCTCAGGAAGCTGGACCCAAACTGAATGACAGAAGATACCAAAAATCCACAGCGCAACCCTCGCAAACACAATGAGGGAAGCACAACAACCACAGAGGCCCCGTAAATGGCAGGGCAGTGATAGGGGCAGGACTAAAGAGCCAAAACCCAACCCCAGCAAGCACAACTAGGTGAAGACAACTAGGGGAGTAGAGAGAACCCAACGTACCTGGAAGGGCTAAGCTTGGTACTGCAAGGCAGGCAAGGCATGAGTGACCCAGAGAAGATCATGGTAACAAAGATAACCGAGGGAAGATTCCAAAGGTTGATGGACATTAATCTCCCTGTGTGAGGAGCTGGTCACTGGAGACAGCGAAGCAAGACCCAGCTGCATCTGGGTACAAGTGACCGGATTAACAACCCAGCGAGTTTCCCTCCCAATGGGGAGTGTTGAACATGCCACCATGGCGGTATGCCCACAGACAGGATTAGTGGACACTCCACCACAGCAGCACGTAAGAAAATACAACATTGTTGCCCAAGAAACTTGCCCCACAGGGCAAAAGTGAAAAACAAAAAAGAACTTTATGAAGGCCCCCCAGGAGGAAAACACGCAAGGCCCAAACAAAACGCCACAACCCACCCCAACACGCATCCTCAGCAACAAACTGCACCAAAATGTCATCTCATAACATCCCGACACGGGAACACGTACCCCATAACAGTCACCACCACCATTGTACTATGTAACCTGGTGGAGGTGGAGCCTCGGGACTGACTCAAGCATGGGTTGGACATGCATACGAGTGGGACTGGAAGGGTACAATGAAGAGCTGCCCCACAAGGGCCAAGAGGCCCCCCTCCAGGCACTAGTGTTCTGCCATTCTCACATTCGCTCCCCCAAAGACCAAGAACCCATGCTGGCCGAAAAGACGCCAGACAGCATAAACTCACCTGCAGAACGTAGGCACGAACGTGTCACGACACAACGTAGCCAAGAAGATTCCGGGAGCACCGCCAGAGGAGGAATGCCAGAATCTCACATACAGAAGAGAGGGAAGAGGTGAAGGTGGTGCTCCACACCCATAACACGGGGAAAACCCCAGCACCCTCCCCATAGCTGCAAGCCAGAACACCCTAGTAGCCACAGGGCACGGACTGGAAAATGGAGAAAAGCTAGAGGCGAAGCACCCGAGAGAAAAGGACGGACAACACCAGCACTTGTGCACACCACCCAGACGAAAAATTCCCACGACGCACGTGCACAACCCGCCCGGGAGGAAGGCGCCAACTAGGACTACATTACAAAAAAAGTAGCCCAAACAGTTCGTGACCCCGAGGGATTCGCGCAGGAGCACAAACAGCCCAGCGAACAGGAACAGGAGCCAAAAACAAAAAGCAGCGACATACAAAGCCGGTGTACGTAACGAAGACAAGGAACCTAATCGGCAACACAATTGGGCTACCAAACCGGCATCCCGGACAAGGAGTATGGAAAGAAAATGAACAGGGCAGAGACCGAGCATAGAGAAAATATACAAAAATAAAAGACCGAGACTGGGCCGAAAACCAAGAAGACGCCCCAAAAAGGACCAACAAGCCCTAGAAAGGAGTGGAGGGAAACCCCATCGAAAGACGACAGATGTTCCAATAATAC